TTGAATGGGATTGTTAGTGAGAAGATTATTAGTGAAGAGATTGTTAATGAGGGGATTAAATAAAAGTGTGATTATTTTGATGATAGTGTAGGAAATGGTTAATGATGGAATTGTTAAATTATTTCGATATAAAATAAATAAATAAATTATTTCTATATTAAAAAAAACTAAAAAAATATTAAAACAAACAAGTGCACTAGGTCAAAAAAATAAAAATAAAAAAAATTATATAAAATAAACTCAATCCCCTCACTATTTTCCTAATCCCACCAAAAATTCACCCTGCAGACACCCCATTTTTTACCGACCTTAAGACTCAGACGTCATCGATTGAGCGCTCGGTGATTGCGCATGTTGTGCTCGTTTCGAGCTTTCGGAGTTCTTAGTTGAGAGCCTCACCTCCGAACCTCGGGACTCTTTATACTTTGACTCGGTCTACGGACTAAGTTTTGTTTTCTCTTTCCGGAGGGAGGGAGAGGTCTTGCAGACCATCTCTCAGTGGCCGTGGGCTACTTTTCACGGTCGTAGGCCACTGTTCCCGTTTGGAGACTAGTTTCTGATTTTTGGAGCCATCGGCCGTGCGCCTCGGTTCGGGACCGCTTAACATTCTCCGTTTGGCACGGTTTTTGGAACACACTTTGTTTCCTCTATCTAGAGGGACACTGTGGCCCGGGAGACCACTTTTGTGGCCGTACGCCACTTTTGGTACTCAACAGCCAGTTTTCGGGGCACCCGGCCGTGCGCTTTGCCCCCCGAACTCTCGTTTTGCATCCATGTTGGTTCATTTTTGGCATGAACCTTGTTTTCCTTGTTTGGGAGGTGGTACAAGGGTGGGAGACCACATTTTCTCCTTGGAAACCACTTTCTCCCCACCAACCGATTTTCTTGTCGGGAAGCTAGTTTTCTTGCTCTTTGGGCCACATTTACTGGTCCCCCACCACACCACTAGCTTGCTTTCAAAGTGGAGACCACCATTTGCCCTGGCCGACTAGTTTTTATCTAGGAGACCACTTTACCTAGTCAGCCGACCAAGGAAAGTGGTCGGCCGACCACCTCTTCTGGTCGGCCAACTTCCTCCTACTTTGTCTGTCTGAGTGCATGCCAGCTGTGCCAGCTGGAAGGCACAGATTGGATCCTCCATACATTGCAACCAAGTTTTTAGCTTCTTGGAGAAGCTTTGTCTTTGAAACTCTATAAGAGATGCCCTCCCTCTCCTTATACCAGGTTGAAAAATTGCTCTAAGGAAAAAGCTTATATCTCTCTCTTTGTCTCTATGTTTTAGGCTTAGAAAGTGCTTTGTTCTTGGCCTATTGCACACCACCTCATAACCATACACCTCCACCATTGTTACTGAGTTGCTGGAGGGTTTTGAGAGGCCTCAAAAGCTGGTTTCTGGTCCCAAAGTTAGCTGTTTTTGCTGAGCTCCAAGGGTAATCACTTTTCCCTCTTTTAAGCATTATTTTGATCCTTCTTTTAGCTTCATTTACATGCTTATTTGAGCTTTGTTGTCAACTAAAAAAAGGTTCATATTTAAGTGATTTTCATGTTTGTTTAAGGCTCTTTTAGTGTTGGGGGTCATCTACCCTCTTACATGCTCTATTTAGCCTTGTTTTGTGCCATGCCATAAGGCACTCGAGCTAGTCTTTGCTTGGACTTCCTACCACTGAAATCCAGTGGATTTTCAGTGGTGAGAATGTGGCTTTGAGGGCCTAAATCAGAGAGGGGTGACCCTCTCTCTTGTTGTCTTTGTTTACTAGCATTTTTGGCCTACCAAAGGAGCATATGTTTATACCATTTGGAGGCCTAGTTCAGGCACTTTTTGGTGACTTCTAGAACCTGCCTAGGCTTTGACCATGGCTGGTTTGGTCCCCTTTTGCTTGCTTCTTGCATGTGTAGAGTAATCTCTTTCATGGCTTATCAAAAGAGCATGTCATTCTTGCATGTATTGGTCTTGTTTCAGCGGATTTTTGGCCATCATTTGGCATGCCATGACTCTATTTTTTGCTTGGTTTGATAGTCCTTCACATGCTTCATATGCTTGTAGTGTAACTCATGTTCACTAGCTCACAATGCATGTTGTTTTGGCTCTCTATTCTAGCATATTTGGGCCACACTTCAAACTGATTTTGTTCATATTTTGGGCTGCCTTAGCCCTGTCTTGAGGCCTCTTGGTCAAAAAATGCCATCCATGCATACTTGTTGTGTAATAGTATTGACTAGCTTTGAGTTTGGAGGTCCCTTGCATGCTTAACTTGAGCTATTTACATGTTTTGGCATCATTGGGCATGATATTTCAGAGCTTATAGGAGTGCTACACTTCCATATTTTTCATACTTTAAGTACTCTTTAGAGTTGTGCATTTATACCCTACTTGCGAGCCATTGCATGAGCTTCACTTTTGTACCTTTCAAGCCATCATCCCAACCCATTTTGCTACTGTTTTGGGCCTGCATAGGGTCTGTTTGGGGTTGGTTTCATCATTTGAGCATGAGCTTCACTTTTGTGCCTTTCAAGCCATCATCCCAACCCATTTTGCTACTGTTTTGGGCCTACATAGGGTCTGTTTGGGGTTGGTTTCATCATTTGAGTATCGCTTTGCATGCCTATAGTGTAATGCACTTCACTAGTTTCAATGCTTGAGCCATTCAACATGCGTTGTGTAAGCTGTTTGCATGATTCGGAGTCATTTTGGAGTCATGTCATATGCCATTTTAGAGCTGGAATATATGCCATTATACTTCATGTTTAGTCCTTTCAATGCATGTGCAAAGTTGTGTTTTTGTGCCTTGGGCTTAGGTCATTGCATTGTGTATGCTGGCATGAGTTTCGGAGTCTTGTTTTCATCATGTTTGGCCACTGATTTGGGTGTGGCTGAGGCCCATTCATTCTGGTTTAAGTCCATTTTTGCATTGAGTATGCCATTGTATTCCATAGCATTGAGTATGCCACATTGTCGCATGATTGATTATTGCATTGTGCATGCCTTGTTCATCTCATTGTGTATGTTAGTTCTTAGGTGCATTGTGTATGCTAAGTACCACGTGCATTGAGTATGCCATTGTTAGTTCATAGCATTGTGTATGCTAGTTGCATGTTTGCATGCCATCCTTTGCATGTTTGCATCACTTAGTTGCATAGCATTTAGGTTGCATACTTAAAGTCGCATTGTGCATACCATTGTTTATTGCATTGTGTTTAGGATAGGAGTTAGCCCGAGCACGAGAAACGAGGGACATCTCGTACTCAAAGTGATGAAACGTGCCTCAATTCTCGGTTGCCGACATTCTTGACTACCCATGATAGAGTTGCTGGCTTTAGGTGTTTGTATGTGCATTCATTTCACATTAAGTCGTGCGATTCAGCTCCTCGGCCATCATGCATCAAAATACGTTATTGGTGGCCCGATGGTCGAGGACTACATTCCCTCGAGCTTATGCAATGATGGGGAGAGTGGTCATGCACACATATGTTGAAAATACCTTGCCATGCCTCTCTCTTGCTCCTTATTGCAGAAAACCAGAAACCAGAGGCAGAAACTGGTCGGTCGACCAGCTTTTCTGGCAGGCCGACCACCCCTTTTGGTTTCTCCCACAAAAGGTGGTCGGCAGGCGGTCTCCAAGGCCAATAGCTGGTCGGCAGCCTTCCCACAGATTCCCAGGGTGGAGTTTCAGCCTTCTGGAGCCTTGTGTAGTGTTCTGAGGTCAATTGCAAACAAAGGCAAGCCGGGACATCGCGATGGATTTCCTGACAAGGCGACTCGAGCATGCATGCATCCTTTATCAATCAAGGCAGAGTTGAGGTAGTCCACATTCATGTAGTTTGCATGCTAGTTTAATTGCTTACTTAGTTAGTTTGTTAATTAATTAGAGTTGTGTAATAATTAGCTGTAATTTATTATTCATTTTGGCTGTGTAATAACTAGCTTAATTAGATTAGCTTAGATTCGCTAGTTGGTGTTATATTATTTATTCGGACCATTCGTTGAGAGGGCGAATTTTGTAATAAGTCTGCGTGTGTGTGATACATGTCTTCCAACCCCCATTTCTTTCTCCCTTTTATTTACTAGCTTACAATGGTTAGTTTTAGGGTATGTTTTAATTAGCATCCTTATGCTTCGCATGTTTGCATTCATTCATCTGTCTTGCATGCACCGGGCTCGGCGCATCATACTAACTGAATTGTATTTCAATTCTGAGCTAAATACATGTTATCTGTAGCATCTCATATGCCATCTTAGAATAGCCGAGCCTAGCTTAGTCGCATTTTGCATGTGTTGCATTAGCCATCTTCACATGAACTAGGATCATGCATTGATTACTAACTAGTTTATGTTTTGGCTTGGAGTACTCGGTGAGTGTTTATGCTTTAGCATCCTTACATGCGTGTGAGTGACTGCCATGATAGCATGCTTGCCATGAGACTAACTGTTTATGTGATATACCTGCCTGAATGCCTGTGGGTAAAGGTTGGATTATTTAAATTGAAACAATTCATCGATTGCGAGTTTTAAACCCACTTGAGAGTAGCAAATCACCATGTTTTCTAAGCCCACTTGAGGGTGGCAAAATCCGCATTTTAGCCTACTTACGAGTAGCAAACCACTTTCAAAAACAAACATGAGATGTTTTGTTCTAACTTAGACGATCCAGTCTATACTTATATGTTGTGCGCATCACGTAGCAATTCTAGGCTAATAAACCAGAATAAGAGCACATATGTTTTCAAAAACAAGATATCATGTTTAGTAGTGGCCGATCTTTGATCGGGCGAGCGGGGGTGTTCAGTGCATGACCTTCCCCAATCGTACCCAAGTTCCCAAACCGAGACAACTTTGGTGATGACGGACACATGGCCTTAGGCACGAGTCAGGGTTTCCTCAATTCTCCCAAAATAAAATATTTAGGTGACGACTCTGTACCTGGCAAAGCAATCCATGTTTGGCACTTCTTTCTAAAAATCAATTTTTCAAAACGATTTTTCGGATTTGGACTCTTTGGTGATTTATCGATCTTGCATTGCACTTTGTGAGATTAGATTTAGAACCGTTACATGGAGTCCGAACTGTAGTGAGCCTAATGAACAAAACGGGAGTTTCCCGGGGCGTTCGGGCGCGTCTACACACCCAAGCCGCTTGGAGAAGTAATCCCCCTCCACAATGAAGCCACCAAACAAGGGTTCGTGGGACCCACCTCCTTACTACTCCAATCCCACTCCCAAATCTCCCAAACAAACATGACCTCAAGGAATTTGCTAATTTCATTCTTGCATCAAGCACTAGGTAGGATGTCCTTGGTAGCTTTGTTCTATGGTAAGACATGTTATGTTCCTTTTATTTGTGTATCACACATATTAATATTTGGTCCTTTTTGGAGAGTTCAAACAACTCAACTTTTTATTGGGTTTTTTTAATGATGTTTATCTTCCATTTGTTTTATGTGTAATAAGCATTTGAATTTTTGTTATTAATATTGATTGCAATTTCTGCACTGGTTGGGTTTCCTTATCATTCACACACAGGTTTGATTCTTGACTTTTTTATTTTATTTTTCCCTCCAAAATACTATGTATATTTCTTGAGAAAAGATTGTCTGCTTGCTAACAATGTCTATAGCCTGATGATCAAGTCTGTTAGAATTAGTGGAAGATTGATCTTGGCTCAAACCACTTTAATCAACTATTATGTGTCCTGCAGCCCTTGGATGAGTTATTTGGGCTTTAGTGTCTGTGTTTTCTGCTGGTGTTGTAGCTGTGTTTTCTACTGGTGCTTTGGCTGTGGTTGCAGCTGTGTTGTGTTTTCATGAAATTTTCAATGACATTTTATTCATGTTATTTGTTCTTATCCAATGCAGGCTCAAATATCGAAGAAAGGAAAGAAGAAAAAGAAGAAGTAGATAGGACAAACTCAATGAAAAAAGGCCTCTTTTTTGTTGTAAGTTTGATTATCTGTCTACTTGGCTATTTATTTACAGATATTGATGCTAATATATTACACTCGAATTATAGTTTAAAAGTAGCATCAGTACTGGTCATGGAGTCTTGTAAAAATAGTGCACAAGCTATAGGTTACATAAATTAGTAGTCCTATTATTGCCTAATGCCTCAACCGCATGCTTTCATGGTTTAAGGTCGGATGTTATTACAAATTAGTTGCATGCTTCCATGTTTATATGGAATTACAAACATAATTCCATCTAATTTGGAATTATGTTTTATTCATGTTATTTGTTCTTGTCAAATACAGGTTCAAATATCAAAAAAATGAAAGAAGAGGGGGAAGAAGTAGATAAGACAAACTCAATGAAAAAATGCCTCTTTTTTGTTGTAAGTTTTATTCTTAAAATTAAAGTTGTTGGGGTGGAATATTATTGTAATTCGTCATCTCTGCTATGGTGATTTCTAAGAAGTGTTAATTTTGTTACAGATTTTTGTTCGACAGAAAAACCGTTCATCTTCTAAAGCACCAGATAATCCAATCAAGGTATGTAAATATCCCTATCATATTTGCCAAATAGAATTACCTTCCTTCATTTTTTAGTCCAGTCTGATGGAATTTAATTCGGAATGCATTTCACAAAGTGCCTAATTTAGAGCAGTCCCTGAAATCATGGTATATGGTCTAAAGAAAATTCAGGGTATCAGAATACTGAAACACCTAAGTTGATGTCATATTTTGGACAACATGTGAAAATAGATGATCTAAAGGTTTATTCTAATTGATAATAGATTATAAGATGCAGCAATTGTCATGACCCACTCCCCGTATCCGAGGGTTAAGCATCGTGATGGCTAATAGCTGAAGTTACGTCTAGCCAATTCTTAAATAATTACTTAAATACGAGTAGAAAAATATTTGAGGGTACTAAAATAATCATTGGAGCTTTTATTTTTATTACAAAATTTATAGACCAAAAAAGTCGATATTTACATATGAAAATTAGAATTATAAATACTATAAAAATACTATGTGTGTCTATTTTGCAACCCCGCATCTAAGACTCTCCAAAAACTATTTCTGAATTGCTTTCCTGAAAATTAGTAAACAGTTATAAGCACATAGCAGAGTGAGAAATATTGTACTAACAGTATAAGGGCATAAAATTCACCATGGATAATTATTGGCTAAACAAAGCTTGATGTTAAAATGCAGAATATATAATATATAGATCATTTGACATATAATACAGAAATCATATAAACAAAATATTTATAACCACGGTACAGAACAGATTTATGGACTCAAGAGGTGGCTCCCACAATAGTATAGTACTTAGCTCCGTACAACACTTTATTCCACACCAGAAATCATAACCATGTTACAGAACAGAACAGATGTATAGACTCAAGAGGTGGCTCATACGAACTCTAGAGGTGGCTTCCACAATAGTGTAGCACTTAGCTCCGTACAGCACTTGGCTCCATACCAGAAATTAGAATGTCAGTAGATCCATGACAGATAGAGGGTCACAAAGTGACTAATTAGAGAGCCAATGGTTATTTAAGTCCCTCAAGACATGGGACCTCTGTGGTGATACTTATAAAATAATTACTCAAAACACATTTTAATAAACAGTTATATCCATGGGTTTTCCTTATTATATAAAATAAGATTCATAAATTAAAAATGCTAATATAATTTATAAAACACAATTTACATTAAATAAATTATAGTAACTCAAAACATACGTAAAACATATAATGGTAACTCAAGGTATAATATAACTCACCTTAAAATTAATACCTCACTTTTTCTTTCCACTACCAAAGACCCTTTCGGCTTCCAATATTTTCTTTCCCTTTTCTTAGTTTCTTTTCCTTGTTCTATTCACAGCACCACCACTCCTTTTATACTAACTTTCATACTTGCTCAACAGGTTTGGGTGAGACGTAACCTCTCTATTTGTAGCCATCATCATGCTATGAATCTTATCCCTCAAATGGATAAGTATAAGTTAGTTGCTTATTTATACTTTGACCCCTAAATTTCGTACTAATTATATTGTTTTACAAAATTACACATAATAATACAAATAAATCATATACTTTCACAACTGTGATTAAATAATTTTAGTATCAATTTTAAAGAATAATTAAAATCTGGGTTGTTACAGCAATGGTGGACGCGGATATGTTTATCATATAGGCACTCTGATTATGCTTATCATGTATGTTTATCACATACATGTTGACAAGATCTGCAAAAGTGAACTAGCAATCCATGAATGGGCAATGAGACACTGAAATTACAATAGGATGTCATTGTGGTATGAGCATATTAAAGGAAAAGCTGAAGAACTGTTCCAAGAGCTAAACACCTTGTTATTTTCTTTGATTTCTTTGTTCTTTTAATTTTTGGTGAGAGCATCTTTAAGAGTGTGGTTTGAGATTGAATTTTTAGTGATTGTTTTTGCCAAATCATAGATTGTACATACTATTGCTCTTGTATACAGGTAGATAAATTCTCAAGCTTTCTTTTTAGTTAAATTCTTTGGCCCTGTGTTATGCTATATTTTAGTTAAATTCTTTGGCTGTGTTATGCAATATATCAGAATCAGGAAAAAAAAATGGCGTTTCTCAAAAAAATCCTTCTAAATGACATCATCATGATGTCATACGTTATTTTGTGATGGAAATGGTACTGAGCGTCAAAGTTTTCGTGCCGTTTTTTAAAATGCCGTCAAACATTTTTAGCGACATTTTCAAAACGTTATAAAGCTATTACGGTGGCCATATTAGCGATGAAAATATTAAATGTCGCTATAACTTATGACAGCATTTTTCAGGCTTATAGCAGCGTTTTTGAAACGCCGCTAAAAATCAATTTTTCTGTGGTGAATAGATATGGCAATAATGAAGCATGCATCAGTAGGGTATGGGATACAACCATATAGAGGGGTAGTGAAATTGTTTCATTGCTCTACTATCTCTTAGGATTTAGCTGTAGCCTCATAAGTTAAATAATGGATTTGGTAATTACTTTTATAGGAGTTTTGGGAATAATTTTTCAGATATGTAATATCGTTGATTACTTAATATCATTTGTCATATTGACACAAGTAGTATTTGATAATTAAGTTTAGTACTTAAAATTGAACAGATATGAAATTAATTACTTGTTTGGTAAGAAACTCATAAAATATAGTTTAAAAAAAAATTTGAAGTAACAGGAAACTTATTGAACTTATTTATATGTATAAGCTTGTTATGATCTCACTATCATATGCAGCACAGCACCGCCTCCATCACCATCACCCCTAACGACTATCATTACTATCAACACCATCATCATCACTACTATCATCACCATCATCATCACTACTATCATCATTACCACTATTGTCACAAGTACCACCATCATTTCACGACCACTACCTCCATTACTATCATCACCATTATCATCACTACTATAATCATTACCACTATTGTCACAAATACTACCATCATTTCACGACCACTACTACAACACCAAACCGATCGCCATTGTCACTGCAACCACCTCTCCACCACCACCACAACTACCACAATTCTCCAACTTCTCCACCACCATCGCTACCTGTTAGGTTTTTATTCTTGGCAATCCCGTTTAACAAAACTCCTTTCAGTTGTAATTGTATTCGATCTTTTATTTCAGTGAGGTTATGAGTTTTAGATACGAATCCAACCTGAATTGTGCCTAAGTAGAGGAGTTTGTGATCTTAATCCTATCATGTTTGCCACCATCGCTACCTAGGAGTTGTTTTTTTCCACTCGAGCGGAGATCGCAGATCTATTTTCTATAAATATGTGTTTCAGTTCGATTTTAAGGTACGGCTTCCAAATCTTCTTCTTGGGTATTAGGGTTTTCATCTGGGGCTTCTTTGCTCATTTTCTTTGATATCTATGAGAGTTTAATCATGAATTGAGTAAATTATATCAAAGGTTTTGTTTAATTTGGTTTATTAAAAAAAAAGAGTTGTTCTTCGGTGGATTTCGTACAACTTGGGACTGAAACTTTGGTGGATTTTAGAGTAGCTCATCATCGTGGATTCGACATCGGCGTTGTGGATTCAACGTTGGGCAAGAGGATTCCGAGGTAAAGACCGTGATGGAAGAGGCATATAGGGGTCAGTTCAATTCGGGTGAAGATTCGCTAGGTAATTGAAAGCACACTTGTGTAATTTCTTTTGTCTTCTTAGTGGATTGTTTTATAGCTTTTGCTCATGGTTTGTTTATCATAATTGGAGGCGCTCCAATTGTGGTTTTTCCACGTTAAATCGTTGTGTCAATTTGTCTTGATTGTTTGATTGAGATTGTTATTTACTGCTTAAAATTTATATATAATCACAAATCAATATCTAGCGAATTTCTAGATTTTTCACTACCTCTATCATAGCCATCACCATTACTATAATTACATTGTCGTCACCATTGCCGCCACCACAACAATTACCACTACCATCACACCTCCAACATAACCACAACTATTATCCATCCACCTCTCTTACCGCCTACTTCACCAAAGCAGTACATACAACACAATATTAAAAAATAAAAAAATAAAAAAAAATAAACTTTAAATGATAAATTTTAAATTTCTTAACGTAGATGTCAACATATTATTTTGGAAAAATTATGTCGGTAGTTCCTATATTTTGGTTCTTATGTCATTTTATTTTCTGTTAGGGGTGGGCGCGGGTCGGTTGTGGCCACGGATGTGGATTGAGCGGATTGGCGGTTTGGCAGATGGATGCGAATTGGTTTGGCGGTTTAAAATTTTATAAATTTTCAACATAATTCAATTTGTACACTTCTTAAAAAAAAAAAAGAAGAAAGTATTACAGTTAATGACTTTAAAAAATATTACAATCACTGCATGCCTCATCCAAAGTAAGAAAGTTTGAAACTTTAGAATATCACAATCACAGCATGCCTCATCCACATAAAGTATTACAATCTGTGGTTCTTAAAATATAAAAATAATTCAAACCAGCAAAGCCATGAACAGAGTAGTGGTAGAGATTGTATGTCTCTGTATTGTTACATCTATATCTGTTTTTGAAAACAAAAACCAACCAACATATATCATATTTTCTATTTATTATTTTTAGAGATAGATTTAAAAACAAAAAAATATAGATAAATAATACGTTTATTTTTTTCAATTCAAAAAATTATTCAAGTTGAAAACTTTTTTTTAAAAGAATATTTAAACTCTTTTTTAATTGAAAAGACAAACAGAATATTTAAACAAACTGAAAACACAAACTCTTATAAATTACTACGAATATTCGCAGTTTGGCGGTTCGATTGCAGCCAACGGAATCTCAAATCTGCCATCTGTCCGCCAGATTGGCAGATTGGAGAAAATCAATCCACAACCGTCTGCTCGTCATCACGCATCCGTCCAAAATACGGCGGATTGGTTTGGCTCGGTCGGTTTTGGCGAATCGGTATATCCGCTGTTCACCCCTATTTTCTATAATTTCAATCGGCTCAATTTTGACATTGAATTTATAATTTTGTCTTAACTTAGTCCAATCGATTACAATTGTTATCATTTTCTAATGGAAAATAATACATAAATGGCATATATCATGTTTTTATGGGTAAAATTATGAACTTATTCAATTTAGTGAGTTAATCTTAACCAATTTAGTGATAATTTTTCGTCAAAAACACTAACGGTATTATCAATTAGACCAAATTGATACAAAATATAAAATTAATGGTCAAAATTAAGACATTTCAAAATGTAAGGAGCAAAATGACACAGAGAGAAAAATATAGAGATCATCATTGTAATTTGTCCTACTATATTAATTCAACAGTTAAATTTTTATCGAATAATTTTGTGTCTTAAAAAAATTTAACAATAAATTTTTAGTACTTAATTTTCAATTACTATAATCATGCTATAAAATAATTTTTAACATCTATTTTTTAAAAAATAAATAAAAATAAAAATTGGAAACCATCCATTAGTATGAGGTGTGCAAGACAACTACAAATAAATAAAAATAAGTTACAAATACATCTCTTAAAATTTATTTAAAATACAAATTGACCTCTATAATTTTGAAAATTACATTTCATCCCTTAAAATTTTTAATTTCATAACCAATAACCCCTTCTATTAATAAATCATTAATTCAATTAACAATTTTTAATGATATCATAAATTTATTTTAATTAATAATTCACGTAATTTTATTATTATGTACGAGAACAATTAGTAAATTTTATTTTTTTAATTAATTTTGTTAAACATTTTTTTTGGCAAAGGGATATTTATAATTTTTCAAACTATAAGTAGTAATTCATATTTTAAATAAATTTTATGAATGTATTTGCAATGGGTGCCCAGGCGATAAATCAAATTTTGAATTTTCTTTGTTGATAGGTCGAGAAGTTAAAACACTTTGTCTATAAGGACAAGCTCGTGTAAAATTACCACACTACCTATGTATATATATATATACATGCTATACGGTGGAGAACTCAACCCTAGGACTGTAAAAATAGCACACGACCCCCGCGGCCCGGGGTGAGCCCGGCCCGTTTGGGCTTGAGCCCAGCCCGAGCCCCTAGGCTTGGGCTTGGGCAATCATTTTGAAGCTCAGCTCAGCCCGTAACCCAACTCATCAACCCGCTTAAGGCTCTTTTAAGGCACACTCAAGGCCCGACCCGAGACCCAATGTCTTTTTTAGTAAAAAATAATAAAATTTAGGTAGAAAAAATTTAAAAAAGTAAAAAAAAAGGTCAAACCCGTCCAAGCCCGAGGCCAAGGCCAGGCCCGCCCAAGGCTCAAATGCGACCTAATTTTTTGCCCCGTGGCCTGGCCTGGTCCAAATTTTGGCTAAAGCCCATGAGGCCCGAGTAGACCAGCCCGGGCCAGATTTACACCTTACTCAAACCCTCTACTCTTTCTCTCTCTTCCTGACATCACCACCACCACCATACCAATCTTCTCCTTTGTTGTCGCCCACCGTCGCCAGTGCTAACCACACCGCCCACCGCCTTGCCGCCCACCACCTCCACTAGATCTACGCCAAAACACAACCATACCCTCTCTCTTTTCTGTACCCTCTCTCTCATTTTCTCTTTTCTCTTCGTTGTCGTCTCCTCTATCTTCTCGACCAACTCGCCACCGTCTGAGCCGTTACTGTCGTGCCTTGCCGCCGCCCGCCTCCACTAGATCTACGCCAAAACACAACCATACCCTCTCTCTTTTCTGTACCCTCTCTCTCATTTTCTCTTTTCTCTTCGTTGTCGTCTCCTCTATCTTCTCGACCAACTCGCCACCGTCTGAGCCGTTACTGTCGTTGCAACTAAAGAAAACCAGAGCCATCATCATCGACGCAGGTTTAGCTACCGTGGCCAGGCTCAACTCCGAGAAAACCAAGCTCATCGTCGACCGTATCTCAGCCCTCTCTCTCTCCCTCGCCACTCGAAAAGCTTGGATTGATTCATGCCCTAACCAAGAAGATTACGAATCTCAACTCTCTCTCTACTCTCTACCAGATCTCTCCCTCTTTCCCCCAACATCACTCTGTGTACTATTTTTGCTGGAGAGAGAACATCTCCGTGTTATATCTTTTTTTTTATTATTTACATTTGAACTCAGATCTGTATTGTTGTTGTTATTGTTGATAATGATGAAGAAGATCTGAGATTTTTTTTTACTTGTTGATAATTATGGTGATGAAACATATTGCAGTGAATATGGAGTGAGAGTAAGAGAAAGAAATATTTGAATGGATGGAATTTGGTTTGGCTGGGTATTTGTAGAAAAAAAAAATTGCATAGAAATTTTTTCAACAAATAGAGAGAGAAAAAAAAAGAGGTGGAGAAAAACAAATAGAGAGAAAAGAGAATTGGATAGAGGCACATATAGAGAGAAAGTTTAAAAATGATGTGAATTTAAACGAATAGAAAAAATAAATTACAAAAATTTAATCGATGAAAAAATTTGAACAGATAAATAAAAATTTAAAATAGAGAGAGAAAAAAAAAAGAGGTGGAGAAAAACAAATAGAGAGAAAAGAGAATTGGATAGAGGCACATATAGAGAGAAAGTTTAAAAATGATGTGAATTTAAACGAATAGAAAAAATAAATTACAAAAATTTAATCGATGAAAAAATTTGAACAGATAAATAAAAATTTAAAGGGTAAATTACAAATACACTCCATGATGCTTGATTAAAATACGAATCGCTCTTTGTGGTTTTAAAAATTACATTTCACCCCCTGAAATTTCTAATTTCATAACAAATCGCATCTTTTATTAATAAATTATCAAGTCAATTAATAGTTTTTAATGATGTTAGAAATATGTTTCAATTAATAATTTAGGTAATTTTATTATTGTATAGGAGAGCAATTATGAATTTCATTTTTTCAGTTAATTCTGTTAAATAAAAAATTATGACAAGGGGTACTCGTAATTTTTCAAATCACATGGGACAATTTGTATTTTAAGAAAACCTCAGAAGATGTATTTGTAATTTATTCAAATTTAAATAGATAGTCAACGAATATTTAACAAATAAAAAAAAGTCAACAGATAATTAAGAAGTAAAATTGAAATCAAAATATATTCCAAAATCAACGAAAAAATTTCTTATTAAACTATTTCACAAAAGTTAAATGTCTCACTAATAAAAAAATATCTGCTAGACATAATAATTTATATCCTCCATACTTTACACTTTTTAATAATTTTCTCATTTGTAATATATTGAATAAATAAATAATAGAGATTATTACAAACTTTGGGGAATGATTGAAAAATTAAAATTAAATAATTTTCGTATAAAACAAGATAGGGAGAGAGAGAAACAAGCTAGCTCCCTATGGATAAATTATTGATTAATTCAGAGCATCACATAACTATAATCTTGACCAATCATAAATTCTCAATTATTTAATATAAAATCATAAGTCTTATTGCTTTTATTAAAATCGTGAGCTATGCTCGTTCGAATGACGTGGCGGACAATAGATGGGGAGAAAAGAAGAAATCAAAAGCAAAGGGAAAATATTATAGATTTTAAAATTTTTACTAAATAAATAATTAAATGATATAAATGTGAAATAAATAATCAAATATTTCATAACAAAAGTTAAATATGTCACTAATAAAAAAATATCTGCTAGACATAATAATTTATATCCTCCATACTTTACACTTTTTAACAATTTTCTCATTTGTAATATATTGAATAAATAAATAATAGAGATTATTACAAACTTTGGGAAATGTTCGAAAAAATTAAAATTAAAAAATTTTCGTATAAAACAAGATAGGGAGAGAGAGAAACAAGCTAGCTATCTATGGACAAGATAGAGTGAGAGAGAAACAAGCTAGCTATCTATGGATAAATTATTAATTAATTTAGGCCATCTTTGTTTGGGTGGATATGAGTTTGAGATTAGATTAATAGTCCAATAAAATTATTAATCCGATGTTTGGTTAAACAATTGAAGTACGGATTAATTATTTTAAACTTGACTATTAGTTAAGATAGGATACATAATTCAACAGATTCGTAGTCTTAGAACTATTAGTTATGAAAATACTAATCCAGTCCGCCTAAACAAATATGGCCTTAGAGTATTACCTAACTATAATCCTGACCAATTTTAAAATTTTAATTATTCAATAGGAAATCATAAGCCTTATTACTTTTACTAAAATCATGAGTTATACTCTTCCCAATGACCCGGCGAACAATGGATGGAGAGAAAAGAAAAAATCAAAAGCAAAGAAAAAATGTTGTAAATTTTAAATTTTTTATTAAATAAATAATTAAATGTTATAATTATAAAATAAATAATTAAAGAGTGATTTAGAATGATCTAAATAATTATATTTTTAAATTTTTTATGAAATATAAATTAAGGCCTAGTTTGGGAAGACTAAATAAGTGTACTTTTTGACTTTTTATGAAATATGGGTTGGGTTTGGGTTGGGTTTGAAGTGATGTGTTAGAGAGGTGATGTGACTTAAATAAGATGATGTGACTTAAATAGAATAGTGACTTTTTGACTTTTTATCTTTTTTCTCTGATGCCAAACTTTTGAAATAATATGATAAAAAAATAATATAATTTAAATAAGATAATATAATTTAAATAAAATAATAATTTTTTAAATTTTTTAAGTTATATCTCACATGTCGATATTCGAACATTTATTTAATAAAAAAAAGTCGACATCTCTAATCTTACCCAAAGCAAAGATGAAGATGAAGATGAAGATGAGAAGTCATATGACAGCTAAGCAATCAAAACAACCAACTTACCAGTCAAATCCACACACACTTCAAACCTAACGTTCATTCTTTCTCTTTCTCTTTCTCTTTCTCTTTCTCTCCGATTCAGATTTCTCTCTCTCTCTCTCTCTCTAAGCTCTTTCCATCTCTTCTTCTGCTTCTGCTTCTGCTTATTTTCTCTCTGAAATCTGTGGAATTTTGATCGAATGGCGAAGACAGGCAACAAGAACATACAAGCCAAGCTGGTGGGTATGTCTTTCCCTTAGTTTCATAGCTATTCGCTTTTATATCAATTTTTTATTATTTTTAATATAGTTGTGAATTCAATTTTAGTGTATCAGGGTTGATAGTTGTATGTATAGTAGTTAAATTGAATTCATCCGAATCCTAAACTTGAATTCTGGTTTCTGATTGTAAAACTGATTCTGCTATTGATTTTCTTTGATTTGATCTGAATGTCTACTGTATTTTGCAATTTCCATGTATTAGAACCTCTATAATGCTAATTATATATTTCGTAACAATCAGAATCACTTCAATTGAACCACACATACCACACTAGAAATATGCTGTTTTGGATGATGTTTACATTACATGTATTGATTTACTAATTTTGTGAGTATAATGGGTCGATTAAGTTGTTGATCATCGCCCTGTTTGTTTTCACTTGTAGAACAAGTTAATTTTAGCTTTTAAAAAGTTAGCCCTTTTACAGCGGAAGCATGTGATTTCTAATTTTAAACTAAATCAGCTGCGAATACATGGAAACAAACTGGGCTTAATATTGTCCGTTAAAAAGAGTTTAGACAACCCCGGCTAAGTATGTTGAGCACATAGTTTTTTCGTTGAATGAAAATTTGATTAGATCATTATGGAAAGCACATTATATGGGAGTGAAACTTGATTAAAGAAGGAAATCTAAGAGGTAATACTCATTAAATTTAGTGTCCAATGAGTTCAAAATTTTGGGGAAAGCAATATGAGGCTATGAGTTTCATTGCAGGTTATTTACAACATTAGAGATAGATTTGCAATGTTCATTGCTCTGTGTTAACTTATGCTGCATGGACTCGGGTGCGGGTGTGTATCCAAGCGTCAGACCTTCATAAATTTAAATCTTAAAATCTTGGAGTACGTATCCGAAATTGGATATGGGTAGGGACACGTCATATGCACATATATGTTGCATATTATATAATATTCTCGGATTAGATGTTGTGAGTTATGTATAAATATACTAGAAATTAAATAGAATTAAGGAAAAATATGAAATTTCTATATCTAATTCATGTGAAAGGCAAAAAATATTACTTTACTAACAAATGTGAGTTTCTTCTTCTTCTTCTTCTTCTTCTTCTTCTTCTTCTTCTTCTTCTTCTTCTTCTTCGTGTATTGTCACAAATTAAAGGATCTGAGTGTCTAAATTGGGTACGAGTGTCAGACACATATCCCGCACCCTTACCCATGTCATATCCGGTGGGTACTATGAGGAAAATAGAAGAGTCCATGTAACACAGGTGTTAACCTTATTAGACTTGCCGAGTAATAGTTCCTGTCAAAATCTAGTAAAGGAAAGTACATAATAAATAAATAAACTGAAATTTGAATTTTCGTTGCTCGAGATTGACTTAATAACATCTCCACTTGGTTGAACTGTGTATACGTCCTTTGTACTAGTCTTATTTGACCATGTAGTACCTGTTTAGTTTCTCAACCTTGATGTCAAGTTGGTTTCAAATCCTATTGTTATCATCTCAACAAAGAAAAAAAAATTGTTTTCTTTAGTATTTTCAGCAACCCCAAGGTGCTTTTATGTATTCCTTTGGAGAATTCTTTGCTGCTTTTAAATGAGTTTGATTTACTAATTCATGGCTGTAGTGCTTGAAATTCTTATACTGTTAAAGCCATTTCCAGGTATTACTTGGGGACATGGGAACCGGAAAAACCAGTTTGGTTTTGAGATTTGTGAAAGGCCAGTTTTATGAATACCAGGTTCACTCTTCTTTTGGTCTTTATTTGTTCTTGATTATTATGTTTCTTTCTACACATTCTTATTGTGTAGGAGCCTTGATATGAGTATAATTTTCAGGAATCTACCATTGGAGCGGCCTTCTTCACTCAAGTTTTGTCATTAAATGAAGCTACAATAAAATTTGATATATGGGACACGGCAGGACAAGAACGGTACCATAGCTTAGCTCCAATGTATTACCGTGGTGCAGCTGCAGCTGTTGTGGTGTATGACATCACAAGCATGGTAACTATTTGCAAACTTCTACTAATTTTGTTTTTGGTTGCTTTTTAATGATGATGTTCATATATGATCTAAATTGATTGCTAAAGAAAAATCTGCTTATTATTGGACCAAAAAATAAATTTATGAGTTGGACATGTGAACCATGAGAAGCAAGAGTAAGTTGTATTCCAATATTCCATAGAATAAATCTAAGGTCATCAAAATGATGACTAACCATCTTAGGCTTAGCCTTCCCTCTTTCGAGTTTTAATTGACTCTATGCGTATGCCCGTACGTGCTGCAATCTCGCTTCTGCTCAAGTAACCTAATGTCTCTTTTATTGACATAACTCAAGTCCTTTTTCTTTTTTTTTTGGTAACTAACTCATGTTCATTTTATTTCTTAAAGTTTGTAAGATGGTGCCTCTTTTGGCCATGTGATGATGTCTGGTGTTGTACTTCTTCATCTGGATGCTGTTTGACCTTTCATTCCATGTCACTAGGAATCTTCAGCGCATACATTGAGAGAATTTTTTTGCAATTTATTTCCTCATAATAAACCATTAGTAGTTGCATTGCATCTTGGTTATTTATACATTAGCAAGAAGGATTTAACTAACGACTAACCACATTGTGCTTTGGCATCAGGATTCATTTGAACGAGCCAAAAAGTGGGTCCGCGAACTGCAAAGACAAGGTGATTTACTTAAACCTGTAACATGCTCCCTGATAGTTCTCTTCTTGACTAGATAACTGAAACTAGTCTTATATAAGTTGAAGGTACAGCTTTTTATCATCTGGAAAAGAGCTTCACCGCTTAACCACCGCTTAATCGTTTTCATAGTGTTTAATTACTTCTTTTGAATTACTAGTTCACAAACATAGTAGAATAAACAAATTGGGATAATTCACAAGGAAAATCTTATTAAATGCATGTTCATTGCACCTTGACACATTATTTTAAGGCTTTTGACTGAACCAAACTATCAATTTTCTACAACCATTAAGCATTTTTAGTTCTAAGTTTCGCTTCTTTTGATTTTGAAAGATCATCAGATGCTCTAAAAAGGAGAAAAAATGTATTTACTTTTTCCAAATAGGATTAATGGCACTGACTGACAGTCCCTGGGCATTTCCATCTTTTTACAAATTAATGATATGCTTTTTTATTGATTTAATATTGAAGTTCTCACCATGCCAGCCTGTTAATAATATGTCACTGATGACTGAACCTTTAGCATGTTTGTTTGGACGGACTGAATAAGGAGGGATTGGAATCCATTGGATTGTAATCCTGAGATTTATAATCCTAAGGCCCTGTTTGATTCCAGGATATAAAGGGTGAGATTGGATACTATATCCTGTGGGATCCACATATCTCATGTTTGCAAAAAAAATTTCAAAGAGGATATAATATCCCATGGGATTGTATATCCCCCAAAAGTGGAGGATATACAATACCCCCCCTCCCCCCATTATATCATATCCCCTTGGTTGGGATATGATTTAAAAAGTCCAATTTACCCTTTTGTCTATCTAACATAATATAATTTAATATATTTTTTGAATTTAATATAATATAATTATTGAATTTAATTTACTTTAATATAATATATTTTAATACAAATTTTGAATTTAATATAATATAATATTATTTAATTTAATTTAATATAATATAATATTATGAGGGCAATATTGGAAATTAGTTGTTTATATCCCATAATATATTTTGTAAAACAAACATGGATAATATATATCCAATCTTATATATCAAGTCAACAAACATGAATCGGGGGATATATTATCCAATACCTATATCATATTCATTATATATCCTGACTAAATCTCACATCATATTATATCCTCCATTTTATATCCAGTGAAACAAAGATAGGATATGTATCCCATGTTTGTTTAGTCATAGGATTAAATGTCAGGAAAATACTATTTGGTTAGATAGGATATGAATCTTATGTTTGTTTGGAATATTATGGAGAAGGATAAATATTCAAATGACTATTTTATCATTTTCAATTATTTACTAAGTAATAGCAATATTAAACATATCTTTAACATTTTAATTATTTTTAGTTAGATTAAATAAAAATTTATTATATTTTATTTTTTACACAATTAAATAATTTTTTTTTAAATTAAATAAATAAAATATCAATAAAAATATATGCTATTTTTTTAATTAAAATTTTAAATAAATTTATTTTAAAAAATAATAATAATTAAATAATGAAATTAAATAAAACATCTATGAAAATTTAAATAATGAAATTAAATAAAATATCAACAAAATTTTAAAATAAAACATCAATAAAATATCTATAAAAAAATATTTAAAAAAATTAAATAAATAAAATATCAATAAAAATTAATTAAAATTATTTATTTTTAAATTGAGACTACTTTATTAAGTATAATTAATACCATGAGGAAAAAGATATTTAATACTAGAGAGTCAACAATATAATTTGGCAACCTAATCCCATGGGATGAGCTATCTCATGATTTGTGTCCCTCCCCTCATGGGATACAATAGTCCAATAGATTTGGGATTAATAGTCCAGACGGACTATTAGTCCGGTGCAAAAAATTTGAAACAAACAATGGACTATTAGTCCGGATGCACTATTAGTCCAATCCCACCCTTCAATCCCACCAAACAAACATGCTAGAGACATGAGCAGGTTGAGGTCACTGTGTCAACATCTATGGTACAGCCAGATAATTTGGGTTGCGAGAAAATTTGTAAGAATGTTTGTAGAGTTAGGTGCTACTTAATTAAACTTTTTTTTTAATAGTTGTTTCAACCAGATAAGACATATTGTTCTAAGCAAATCTAGCAAGACGTTCTTTGTAAGTTGATTAAAGAAGTATAATAGCAAGCTTCCAGGATTTTCGAGAGTAAACTGAAACAATCTTTTACAGGATTGGTGTCCTTCCATTTTTATTTTTTATTTTTTGTCTCACTATACTTTCCCTTGAAATTTGATATGAAAGGTAGTGAGAAACATCTCTTAGATTGTGTTTAAAATTTCAATGGTGTTTCAAATTTTGAGAGAAGCCATCATATTTCCCTTCTTATGCCCTTGAACTTGTAAAGTTTTTTAGTTCTGTCTAGGGCTAGCATGTATTCATAATATGTTAAAATTGCTATACCTATTATGGCACAGAATTATATCATTCAGTAATTAGTTGGACACTAAGCACCTAACTCATTATTTAAGTTACCTTGGTGCCTTATTAGTGTTTAATAAAAATTATGTTTTGCTATTGTAGGAAATCCAAACTTGGTAACAGTTTTGGTGGCGAATAAGGCTGACTTGGAATCAAAAAGAGAGGTGCAGAATGAGGTACTACAACTTGTTGGTTTTATCCATATTTAGGTTTTAATTCATAATTATTCACAATAAACATATGTATGATCAATGGCATTTTTCATGAGCACATTGGCATTAAAGATGGATCTCATTTTAAATAGCCTGTGTCAAGATTCCTAAGCAATTGGGAAGGCTAGCTGGTAGCAATAATGATGTGCCTTGCAGAGGGAGTGACCTCTTGGTGATGGGTTTATGGATAAAGAGAAATATAAATATTAATATGCTTACCCCATGTCTGTTAGCTTATATCATATCCCTCTTCTTGTGCAATTTCATGTGTCTAATCTATGTGAAATAAAGCATTTTGGCTTCTTTTTTTTCTTTTTCTTTTTTTTAATGGTCAAAATAGTTGAAAAGGAGTACAATCCTTTGCCAAATTCCAATAATTTAGACAAACTATCAGTATAGTCTTTTGTCAGGGAATGTCATCTTTGTACTTTCTCTGATTTTCGTTTCTTTCAAGTTGACGCAAAAAAAATTACACCCAACTATTTTTTGGAATCAACTATTTGGATCTATCTTCTCCAATTAGCTCTTCATGAAACCATATCCTTGACTAAATTATCCTTTCTTACAGCATCAATTTATTTTTTACTTTTGTTCTAGATTAACGTTGGTTAGCGTTGTCAATAGAGATATAGATCTACTTAACTTGACTAACAAGATGGTCTTTGATAGGGCCGCGTGGAAAAGAAGGATTCATGTAGCCAACCCCATTTGATGGGACTTAAGGCTTTGTTTAGTTTGGTTTGGTTTGGTTTGGTTTTCTTCTATGTTACATGGACTCTTCAAAATAAATCAAATACCCGTGTCAAACACTCAACACTCGGACGAGGGTGTGGGATATGTGTCGGTTACTTTCCATTGGACACTTATCATATATTTGTATTTAACATTATCTTCCATGTATCATTTTTGTTGTGTAATTGCTATAAAATACCTTTTTGACGTTGTATGTTACATATAGCATCATTTTTTCTTACATACTGGATTAAAAATATAAAAATATGACTTTTTTGAAGAGTCCACGTACCCTTAAATTTGAAATTTTGATGAGTACGACCTCTAAATATGCACCCGCACCTGACACTCGCAACCAAGTCCATGTAACATAGCTTTTGTTGGCTTTGTGCTTTTGGCACTTTGAACTTGGCTGAAGTTGCTCCTGCATACTAGGGCTGAGTTGGTCTGCATTGGTCATATCTTGTGCAACATAACCAAATCATCATTTTTCTTCACTTATTACCCCCCCAATTTCCTAGTTTTCCTTTACCCCAAGTAATTTATTTTTTTTTTTATTATTATTTTTTTAATTCAATGATAAATAATAAATGTGTCAGCTTCACAAGTTGAGATCATTTTCGAGTTGCACTATTACTCAAGTCGTCTTATTACTCAGTTTTTAACAAAAAGTTCATCTCTCTTTCTTTTCTTTTTTTTAGTATTTGCATACCGACACGGGGGGGGGGGGGGGGGGCGGGAAACAAAACAAACACGAGATACTATAATTTATTCTTATTGATGAACTTGCGTCCTTTTTCAATATCAATCATGAATCTCTTTGGGTATATCTTAAATCATCAACTCTGTATTACAGTTGAGAGCACAAAAAGCTATTCAGATATCTATCTCAACTCATTTGACAAAGCCTTATAACAATATTTGGGTTGCCTAGAAAAAATTCACGCTTGTATCTCTTGCTTAAGAACGTGCTATCTCCATATTTGAGCCATGATTTAGAGGAACACGTGATTGCTTTATTTATCGCTTGATACACTTTGCATAAATTCATCCAAGTTACTGAAGACAAGTTTGGAATCCTTGATATTGCAGATAGGGGAGCAATATGCTAAAGACAATAGGTTGCTTTTCTTTGAAACTTCTGCAAAATCTGCACAAAATGTCAATGAGCTTTTCTATGAAATAGGTAATTCTATTGCTTTTTTATTTTGGAGTGAAGGGTATTTTCTATGCCCTGGATTGCAAGGATATTTTCTTCATGACTCTCACTCTGTCTCTCTCAAACACACACACACACACACACACACACACACACACACACAGTACTATTCAATACTACATCCTGTATATTGGCCAAAACCTTAGTCAAAACGATGTTCTCCATGATTTTGAACTAAGAAATAAAGTGATCAACAAAATTACGGGATGGATGTCTTTGCTATTTTAGTACTGTTGTTTCTTTGTGTCTATGTGTTGGTTTATACAAATGTTCATCCACTACATCCTCTACGTGCTTATAATTACTAATTTTTTGCAGCAAAGCGATTGGCGAAAGCTGCCCCTTCAAGGCCTGGTGGAATGAAACTGCATAGCAGATCACAAGAACGGGGAAGAAGAGGGTTTTGTTGCTCTAGCTGATTGCCAGAACTTGGTCAAGGTAAGTGATTTCTTCGTTTTAAATTTAAATTAATTCATCACCTGTGGTGTGAACTGCAAATCAGACCCAGAAATGAACTGTCCTATATGGGGGCAGATCATTTATTAGGCCAATAACCAAACCCTAGAACCCCAACCATTGTCTCAGTGGTGAGGCTAACCCAAGAACTGAACCGATCTAGTCGGGTTGATTATTTTTAAACCTAGAATCGAACCATGCCATTTCAAACCTAGCACTGAACAAACTGATGCATGAATACGTGTACAAAGTAGAATCAGAAACTCCAAATCACAACATTTCTTTTATAATTCTGTTGAACAAGAAAGATTGCTATAAAAATTGGAATAACTTAGAGAAACTCTCCCTGGAGACAGTTATATTAATCATCAAGTCTCAATAGAAAATTATACTAATAACAATCCCAATTCTATTACTAAACAGAACCCTAAGGCAAATTCCCTGTCAATTAAGCAATAAATTAAGAAAAGAACCAAAAAAAATACCAAAAATGGCAAATTTTAGTCAAATTACTAGAAAAAACCTAGACCAAATCAGATTCATCTTGACCAACTAATTGACAAAACAAAAACTTTTAAAAATAGCAAAAACGCAAACTTGGAAGCATGAACAATGTGATCGGGCGGAAAGACCCAACCCATTACTGGTTTGAGATTTAGTAGTTTTTGAAGCAGTGCATTCCTTTCCTAATATAGTGGATTTTTTATTTTTTTTTTTCCCAACTGGTTTTATTAACAGGTACCCCAGAATTATTTTGCAAGGACACTGTTCCATGAGATGGATATTCATTGTGGATGATCAACGTTCCAGAGGAGCTTCACTTTGTATGAATATTTATTGTGTGTATATTGTATCTTGCAATTGCTTTCAGACATTTGAATTGTTTTTATTTCTGACAGTTGAATTTATGTATATGTTCAATTATGCAACAAGTGAATATGGAACTGAAAGTGAATAAAGATGCTACAATTGAATTGTTAGCTATCAATTCATTTAACAGCTTCAGCTGTTACAGAGAGAGAACTCTAATATTTATATTATCAACATGTTTTCTTATGTATGGCTGACTCCCTTCTGTAAGCAAGTCAAAAATATGTAAGTAAATTAATTACCAGATAAGTGATGAGATTTGAAAATAAAATCTATTACTTGTTTTAATACCAATAATCTTTATGAACTCAGAACATTGTGACTAAAGAAGCCAAGATCAATTTTAGAATCATAGAACATGCACTGTGGCTTTTTATGTTTCTTGACAATGACTTTAATCACTACTTAAACAAACTTTTTTTTTCTTTTTTTTTTAATAATTGTATGAGGTACTACAGTACCCCAATATCCGAGGTCAAATTGGTCATTTTGTAATAGTTATATATCATTGTGGTGACACAAATCTTCTGTTCTTAATGCATTCCTAGAAATGCATAATTCTTTGAACAAAAATGCTTTGGAACCCCAGTTTTGAAGGACTCCCAGTGACCCCCAGTGATGTGGCAGCATGTGATTGGTTGAAATTTTTTTTTTTTTTTTATTTTTACTTTCCCTTGGTCCACAGCCCTCCACGTGGAGGTGGGGGTGCTGGGGGTGCCTCCGTACTGGGGGTGCCAATCACTGCTCTTCTTAAAAAAAAAAAAGAAAGTTGGGGTTTAAGAAAAAAAAAAAAAAAGTTTGCCACCATATTGTGGGACTAAGAGTACAAGACAGATTTTGGGGTAGGGAATCACGGCATTCTATGCTATGGAGCTGATAATAGCACCTTGGCTAATCACACACATTTGTACACAATGGAAAACAAAGTTAAACACGGATAATCTGTTTAATAGAATTTGTTATACACATTTTAGTGTTATTCCAGTAAGAGATGCTATGATATTTTTAAATTTCTTATATTTTTTCGTTACGGTTTTAGAGTCAATTTAGTTTTAAAAAATTATAATAATAAAAATTAGGGATAATTACAAACAAACAAACAAAAAAATCTGGGGTCTGAGGTTTATAACAAAATAAATCCTGACCTTTTAATTTTGTCAATTTAAACTATAATATTTTGATTTGTTTTCAATTCAAACCATTTGCCTATTTTCGTTAAATAAAATTGATTGAAAAAAAAAATAATTTAGTTATTAAACTCAATGTACATAAAATGCTTAAAATAACCTTTTTCATGAGTTTAATGACTAAAATATTCATTTTTCATCGATTTTACTTAACAAAAATAGGTAGATGATTTAGATTGAAAACAAATTCAAAGTACAAAGTTTAAATTGATAAAATATAAAACTCAGGATTTATTTTGTTACATAGCTCAAACCATTCAATTTGTTTTCAATCTAAACCATTCGCCTATTTTCGTTAAATAAAACTGATTGAAAAAAAATATTTTAGTTATCTATACATAAAATGCCTAAAATAAGTCTTTTCATGAGTTTAATGACTAAAATATTCATTTTTTCATCGATTTTACCAAACCAAACCAAACCAAACGAAGCCTTAAGTCCCATCAAATGGGGTCGGCTACATGAATCCTTCTTCTCCACGCGGCCCTATCAAAGGCCATTTCATTAGTCAAATTAAGTAGATTCATATCTCTATTTATAACGATAGTCAACGTTAATCTAGGCATACCCCGTCCCCTAACACTTCCATCTACCGTTACAGCATCGCATCTCTTCACTACTGCCTCTGTTGGTCTCCGTTGAATATGACCAAACCATCTCAAACGATTCTCTCTCAACTTATCTTCTATCGGTGCTACTCCTACCCATTCCCGAATACACTCATTCCTAATCCTGTCATGTCTAGTCTTACCACACATCCACCTTAGCATCCTCATCTCAGCCACACTCATCTTATCTACCTGTTGTTTCTTGGTTGCCCAACACTCCGTCCCATACAACATAGCTGGTCTAATAGCCGTTCTATAAAACTTACCTTTTAGTCTAGTGGGTATTCGTTTATCGCACAATACCCCAGACGCACTTCTCCACATACACCGTCCCGCCTTAATCCTATGAGCCACATCTGCATCAATCTCTCCCGCTGTTGTGATAATCGACCCTAAATAACGAAAATGTTCACTCTTAGGCAGTTCTTGGTTCTCAATCTTCACTTCTCCTCTGCTTTCATTGTTACTGTTACTAAATTTACACTCCGTGTACTCTGTCTTAGTTCTGCTTATCCGAAATCCTTTAGATTCAAGAGCTTTTCTCCAGATCTCCAACTTTGTATTAACTCCTTCTCTAGTCTCATCCACTAACACAATATCGTCTGCAAAAAACATACACCATGGCACGTCAGAAAATATAAAACTCAGAATTTATTTTGTTGCATGGCTCAAACCCTTGGATTTTTTATTTATTGTACTTTTATTTTTTTGTAATTTAAAAACTAATTTTGTAAATTAAGAAAATAAAATTGAGTTAAAATCAAATATTTTTATTAATAATTTTATCCATTGGAGATTAGTTTCATGAAATTTAACTTGCACATTCATGCACTTTATTTTTAACTAGGTTGAAATTTTTTTGTTATGACACAAACTGGATGTGGACCAAAAACAATGCTATGATAATACAAAATAATATACAAGTTGAGTTAGTGTTTAAATAATTTTGACAAGAACCCAAAATGAAATGACACAAATACGACCCTAGGACACGAGAGCCACCCCTAGGCAACAATCAAAAACCCATTTCAGCGTTATTGACCAAAAACTATGGCAACCAGTGGGTGAAGCACATAAAGCAGAAGGCTAATTACAATAACTAAATGAAACTAAACATTAACTGTGAAAACTCTGGTAGCATAGCTGCAATCTCAATCTCAACTCATAACTATTAGTCAGAGGAATCTATAACATATGAGGTTTCACGAACAGATACAACAGTACACCACAGCAACACAAAACAAAAGGCCCAAGCTGATTCCAAAATAAAATCAGACCTTGTATATGTAGGTGATTTGAGCATAGCCCTTTATGGGAGCAGGAGTGAAATCCTCTCTATCCGCTCCCCACAAAGAGAACAATACATTTCTAGGTAAACGCAAGTAAGAAGACAACAACAACGGATATACTCCCGTAAGCAATCTAAGACACCAAATTCTAAGTTTGGATTCCTTGCACCTTTCACTGTCCCTTCATGGCTGCAAACCGGGCAGCCAAATCATCATAATCTGGTAATTTGGGATGTACATGCTGTGCTGGCTTATCTGGCTGAAAGGAATTGGCATGAGTAAAAACTTTCACCGTCTCTGTCGGAGTAGGTTGCTCACTGGGGAGAGAAACCGATCTTGTGGGATGAGGAACCATTTCTGCCTGCCCATCAGACCCATCAGTGGCTATCTGATGCGATGCATGAGCTTGAGCTTTGGACTTTCTACGTACCTTTTCTGGTTCATAGGTTGATGATGGTTTCTTACTGTAATGCAGCAGTAATCTATCTATCCTCCTTTCCTCTTCATCTTTCTGATGATGTTCATCATCAAACAAGATTTGCAAGCCCTTTCTTGAGTTGTCCCTTCTCTTGCTACTTGAACTTCTCTTTGCAACCCCAGAATCTTCAATATTACCGAAATCATCACGATTGGATAACGATTTTGAGTGTTTCCTCCTAATTGATCTTGGTTTTGGCAGGGGTATATTATCCCGGTAAGCTACATCTTTCTGAAAACCATGACTACTCACTTGTGCAGGTCCAACAACTCGGTCGTCATAGTTTGGATAATCTGATTCTCCCTGGTTCCTCTCTGACCTCTGCACAACATTGTTACTCTTACGCATTAAAGAGTCCATGGAGGTTCCATCGGAGTCCGCACTGGCATGATTAGCTTCTGTGTTAACTCCGTATTTGCCATCTTTTGATTTAATATAAGGTGGAGGGACAGGTTTACCTTTTGATTTAACGTATGGTGGAGGAAGGATGGCATTACGTGAGTAGGACTTCAACCTATCTGTTTCTTCATCCTTAACTTTGCTTGTTGAGTTTGCAGTACCTGGTTGACTATAATCGCTATAACCAACTGACAAAACATCTTTACCATTACGCCTACTTGGAACTCCCATAACTCGAGCAGCAACTTCTGATTTTCCATCAGATAGATGGCCATGGCCATCTCTGTTTGGGATACTATTCATCCTATCATTATGTATCTCATATCCACTATCAAAAAATTCTGGCCCTTTTCCAAAATTTGAACGGTTTGGTCTAATTGATTTTAGGGCAGTATCCTCCTTTCCATGCAATGATTCATGTTTGCCATCTGTGAATTCTCGTCTTCCTTGGAAGGGAACGTTGTCGTTGTCTCTTTTTGGAATACATTGTTCCCTACCCATGAGTGGCTTCTCCCTATGACCAGTTAATTCCTCTCTTGAAAAGATCTGATGGTCCAACTCATCTCTTTTCAAGAGACTATCCTCCCCGCCATTGCGCAGTCTATGCTTGTCATTGGTAAGCTCAGTCCTCTCTTGATAAGAATGATTTCGTTTCTCCATCTTTGTAATGGTCTCTTTGGCAATAGGTAATTTGAATTTATCGACATGGTCAAGGACAGGCCCATATTCCTTAGGTGCCTCCTGCGAGATATGAGAGAAGAAGCCAAACAATTTAGGCTTGAACGACAGTGAAGACAATTCCACTTAAATTGGTCGAAGATAGTACAGAAACAAACCTCTCGATGATAAGTATCCTCACAAAAAACACTATCATTTTTCGTTTATCAGTCATGAATTGAAGAAAATAAAGGGCATACCTTTGCAAATGCAGAAGGATTAGCCATCCTCTGTTCAAAAGCCCTGGAGTCCCACTTTATTGACAACTCTAATGCTATGCTTTGCAAAAACTGGAGTTTCTTCTCCATTGTTGGAGGCCTCAAAGCTAATTTCTCAACAAACTGACGAAAACGATAAGGTGGTTACAATTATTACTTTGTTAATATCATATTTAATTTAGAGTGCATTTCTCAAGATCACCTCTGGATTAACAAAATGTTCCAAAGAACTTCCATATCTCTCCTGAAATGTGTCCCTGAGGTCGCGTAATTCAGGCAAATCAGAAAATCTTGCTGCAGCAAACATCAGGGATCCCACAGCCTCCCTGCAGTCCTCAGGGCATTCACTGGAAGGAAAAAGTAATTGGAGCAGATAAGAATGTTAATATCATCTCAAATGAATGTTAATATCTTTTCAACTCCACTGAACGATGGCCCTTGAAGGCAAAATCGTCCAACTTAAGAAACAAAGTTTCTCATACAAGATACTATGTCATTACATGCTGATATTTAACTCTATAATGTCACCCATATTTCTTCTTAGCTTAAGAATACTCCAAAGGATGCCACAAATGAAACTGAATATAAATACCAATTGGATGTAAGGGAGCAAGAAACAATGATGACATAAAACATATGCCATTGAATTGGCGCATTACATATGCAACATGAAGATGGTATGCCGGTGGCATTATTATTATAATTCTCCCTTTGGGTTTTCATACAGTTTTCAGCATGTAGTGATATATATATCCACTGTATTCACAGTATTTTGGTCAATATATCTCTATCTCCAAGCCCCTGATATATTAATTTAACAAGAATTGCCATGTGCTCCATGCATTTTTGCAATTTGTTCTAAATTATATAAATATGACATATACATATGGTTTGGATTCCTATATATCCACTTTCCTGATATTTACTTCCTTGATTCTTAGTTCCACAAGTCAAGATATAAAACATACACTGTCCATACAAACATAATTGGCAGAAACAATTTAATTGGCAAATTTTTTTTATTGCTAACAAATAATAATGTCACAGAAAATAAAAATGTAAAGTCACAAATCAAACCACTACAATCTGCCCATACCTCTGTTTTTGCATGACAGAAACCTGCTTCAATATGTATTCACAGGACTGCTCAATAAAATCATAACATGACAATAGGTTCAGTCCAGCAAGAAATTCTTCGGTCTGCTTCACTTCCTCACACAAAAAAACACAAAAAAAAAAAGCTTTTATAAGAACATATCTAAAGCATAAATAACTAATACTTTAATAGATATAGACTATTAGATGTCTAAAATGAATAGCGAAGATAGATAGTGTAAGTCAATTCTGCTTCTCATATCATGATTAGTGAGAGAAGCATTAACTGGAATATCACAGGGGGTTTGGATTCTCTCAAGTTGGCCATCCAACTTGAGAGGACAGTTTGGGCTTGGAGGGCCCAATTTGAGGCCAACTTCGGTAATCCAAGCCTTTCACTTTTAGGCATCATTGAGTAGAATATTCATGCAAAAATATAAGATGATCGGACATTGGTAGTTATATGTTTGAATCACATTTGTATTACAAAAAATGGATGGCTATTTCAAGTTAGATGGCCAACTTGAGAGAAGCTAAACCCACTAAGAAGCACGACTAGAAGTTTTAAGTTGGAGAAAAAGAAGGAACTACAGTATGAATACAGGATTGGCAATTAAAAAAACATGCTTCTGTCCAGTGGGAGATAACACGAACCCAAATGAAAAAACTAATTTTCTTGTAGATGCAAGTAATTACATAAACATGTCAGAACTTATGCAGCAGATTCTACCACATTAATTTTTGGTCAAGTGCTCAAATTATAAGTCAACTCTCACCAATTATTTAGACTACCGTACTTTGTTAGACTGAAAGAAATAGTAAATATATTGAAATTCTTGCATTAACCCCCATCAAAACCTCAACAATTCCTGCTCTTGCTTTTCTGCCTAAGAAGCACAGATACAGACACATGACACGATATGGATATAACACGGACATGCTGACACGAAAGTTTTCAAAAAAATTAGGACACGGCACGTGGGGACACATGCAAAATATATAATTTTATATATTTGTTATATGTCATATGATAAACAAATAACTATATATCATATATATGAATATGTAAATCAAAAATAATAATTTTTAAAGTCTAAAAGAAGATCTATATTGTTTTTGTTTTATCATTGGATTCAAATTATTTTATTCAAACTTGTAATGGGTTCTATGTGTGTTTAAATGTTAAGAAGTGTCTGACGAGCCATAAAGCATGGGTACTTCAGCAAATACGCCGTACCTATACCGAGTAATTAACGAGAATCGGTACTTTGCATAGTACTTTTGCATACATACCAGGCACACTAAGCATGTACTAAAATCCTTTCTTCTTAATTTTTGCCGTACCCTAGACATACTTAGCATATACACATGTCGTACCTCAACCGGAATAATATTTTCTTCTATATAGAGGTGAAGTTAGTTTCATTGGACTTGTTTTTTATGCTTAACATGATTTAAAACTAAGCTTTGGTTTGTAAGTTTTATAATATAATGACATTTAATTTTTGTTTATACCTTACTTTTGGAATCAAATGTGAATTGTAGGTTTGATCTTAATGAAATAAATCATTTAACTATTTTTGCATTACTTCAAATTAAAAATAAATAATTTTTATGAACATAGCCAACCGTGCCCATACCTTACTTTCTTTAGATTTTACCATATTTGACATACCTGTACACGTGCTTCATAGCCAACGAGTATCATGTCGTGTCGATGTTCGATATAGTGTTGGACAAGACATGTTACCATCTTAGAAGTGTTTGTGCTTCTTAGTTTTTTGGTATTCATCAACAAATTATGAGTTCATTTGGATGAATGTGAATTTAAAATGCATGGATTTGACATTAATCATTCAAGGAGAACAACTCAAATTTAGATTTGACAATTACCTATAAACTAAGAAGCACTGACACTTCTATGGAAGAAGCATGTCATGTCCAACATGACACTCATCAGATACTCCTAAAAGCGTGTATGACACTTTTTTAACATATCTTGATTAAAAATTCAAATTCATAACATCAGACACTTTTGCGAAACTTCGCAGACACGTCTGCAACATTTCTTGAACCTTCCAAATTCATCTTATATGATGAATCCCTTCATTATAACAATGTTCTCCATTCTTCACATCCTAAAAATGTTTTGAAATATTTCTAAGATGAATATATTATGTGTAATACAATATTATATAATTGTTTTACATTGTTTAGAAAGTAATTGCTATGTAAATGATGTCGATATTTAAATTTATGAAATATATGACTTTTTAATATAAAAAATCTGTTGTGTTACATTATTATTATCTTTGAATAAATTATTCATATATATGAATATGACATATAATAAAATATAAAACTTCAACGTATCTCAAGCGTGTTATATCCTACATTTTTTGAAAATCGACGTATCGACATGCTGATGTCATGTCACGTGTCTGTGTTTGTGTCTGTGTTACTTAGCCTATAAACTTCAAGATTGAATTAAATATCTTTATCATTAGATTTTAAATAAATATATAAAAGTAGTTATTTGAAATCTTCTAGCTACAAGGATCATACCAAAATACATCCCTTTATCTCAACATATCTTCTTCTGTAGTTTTTCTATCCACTTATAATAGCTAACTCTCCAATATTTCTAACCTCAAATCCCTTGATTTGAAATCACATCCATCCAAAACAGACACTATAATACTTTCTTGTTGAGGCAAAGAATCCTTTGTGTTAAGTCATCAATTGTCCCAAACAGCTAAGTTGTTAGGGAATGGGTGCAATAATGTATATCAAGCTATTTAACACCCTCCCTCACATAGAACCTTGTGTTGCACATGGAGATACAAACAACGAACCAAAAAAAAGGAGAAGTAGACAACCAAATAGAGAAGAACAAGCCACATGGGGACCAAATATGAAATGCCAATGAAGAGATTTGAACCCAAGACCCGAGCTCTGATACCATGATAAGTCACCAATTGTCCCAAAACCTTAAGTTGTTAGGCAATGAGTCCAACAATGTATATCAAGCTATTCAACAATTTGAACATGAATAAAGATTGAGAGCTCTAATTTTGGAGCTCTAAAGAGAGCTCTAGTGATGTAGCAAGGAGTGGGGACATGTGACGTGATGTGTGTGCCTATGTTTGTTTGTTTTTTTTTTTTTTTTTTTTTTTGTCACATCATTAGAGCTCTCTTTAAAGTTTCAAAATTAGAGCTCTCTATCATTGTTGATTTGAACATATAATAAGTGTACAAAAAAGCATATGACATCATCAATTTATGAAGTGAACAAGTACTTGTGATGTCGGCATACATTTCAACAATAATATGATTAAATAGACATAAAGTACAAAATCATACACAAGGCATATAAGAACACTTAGACAAAAGAATAAGTATAAAAAATGGCAAGATGAGAATTAGGGCCTGTGAAAATGCCATATTGTGTTAACATGAGCTTATCACAAACTTCTAAATGTGCTATGGTTATGTGCTCGGGCATCAAAATAATTCCCTCACTAATCCTTAATCTCATCGTTCTTAATTAGCGCTCTCCAATCTTCACCCTTGATAACATACTTTATCCAACTTTTGTTTCTTTTATCTTGCCAATTATATATATAACTTAAGACAAAGATCATCACAAGCTCCAATTTAGCCTCGTTACTTGTTTTCTTATTCTCATTTTTAGATACTATAAAGTTTTTGTTATTCTTATTCTTACATGTCCAGAAAATTCTATGACACTTTTTATTTTGATTACTTTTTGAACTTCTTTATTCTCTTTTTGCCAATCAATAGAAGATTAATTACAAATATGAGAATAATTACATCAAACTAGACAATTGCATATCTACAAGTCCAATCCAACAACGAACCCAACCCAGCAATCACCACAAAGAAAGCGCCAAGCCCAACAATCACATAATACAACCCTCTTAATTAGAGAGAAATAAAGGGTATCAAACTCCTCTCTGTACGATTTGAACCCGCAATCTCACACAACAAAATGGTGCTACACAACCGGCAAAGGCTTCTCTTAAAATCACCAAAAACTACCAATTTTTTATTCAGGCCTCGTTTGGGAACAGGCTAATTTAGTAACTTTTTGGCTATTTGGCTAAAAAAGTAGGTAAAAAAAACTTATATGTTTGGGATGATGGCTATTTGGCTAAAAAAGTAGGTAAAAAAAACTTATATGTTTGGGATGACTTTTTGCCTAATTACGAAAAGATGTGCAAAAAATAGAGAGAAAAGAGAATCTTTGACTTTTTGGTATGAGTTGTTAGCTTTTTGGCTAAAAAGGTAAGTCCCCAAACGGGGCCTCCCCAACCACCAAGTTTTTTCAAATGGTGGCGGACCTCTCTTACATTCACCAAAAACCTTTTTTGCCGCCAATTTTTTTTTTTTAAAATACAATTAGCCATCTCACACTACACAAAATTAGTTTCCTTATTCTAAGTCTACTTACTTATTGATATTATCCTTAAAAAGAGGTAAATTTTCAACTTCTAAATTTCATCATCTAACTTGCGGGTGCCTAATTCCCCTACTTTCCCCTAGTTTCCTTATCTAGTGTTATTGTACAGCACATTTCTCTTTAAAGTTTGCTATACCAAAGTCATGTGCTCTTGCAAACCTTCCTATGGCAGTAATTTCTAAATAATGAATAACTAAAATTAAAAGATTTCACTTTTGGATCAACACTCTAAACAAAAAATCAAAAAAAAAATAAAATAAATAAATAAATAAATCGGAGCAGAACAACAAAAGACGAAATCGAGTGGAAAGCAGAGCATCAGTTTTCTGACCCTTCCATAGGCATTGATATCGAGGCCATTAGCAAGTAGCTGAGCCAGATTACTCTTCAGAAACCTCTGCGTCGCCTCCTTCCTCCTCCGCAGCACATCGATTCGAGTCCTCGTCAGCTTAATCGACGATTTACTGCATTACCAAACTCAAATCAACAATGCCGTCACTAAATTCATATATATAGATAGATAGATACATAGAGAGAGAGAGAGAGAGAGAGAGAGAGAGAGATTGCAGTAACCATTTGGAGCTAAATCCTCGCCCTAATAGTACGTCCAACATCTTCAACCTCTGTTCTTCGATTGATTGAAGAGCTCAAATGCATATACAGCGAGCAATTAGATCCACCACTACACATACACATATACGAGAAGCTATATATCTATGTACATGTATATCTGTCCGTGTGAGTGGGTGTAGAACAAGTAATGGACTCGCCTTTGGTCCTTTTACTCATGACTCGGGGTCAAACCCAATTCAAACTGTTCAAATTTAACCCTATCCTTTTGTTTTCAAAAATAAATAATAATATTAATAATTTATTATTATATTTGAGTTAGTTTTTCCTTTCGTTTAAGAAAAAACTTTTTTAATCTGACGTTTTACTTTTTAATTATTTTGATTTGATTAAAAAAAATTGTTTCTAATGAATTTTTAATTTCTTTTTATTTTGTAAAATAAAAAATAAAATAATTATAATTTAGATATAACATCTTGTGTTATTAACTTTTCAATTTATTGTATTTTTAAGTAGCTAATGTGGGCTTTGGAAAGTTACTATTTTAGTTTTTGAATATTTTAATAGGTTAAAATTTTTGTGCGTAGGAAAATAGTTATATTTTTTTATAGTTAAATGTAATATTATGAGAAAACAAAAATAATTATGAATTTAACATGATATCTTATTTTATTAATTATTTTAACTTATTTTACCTTTTTATAAATTTTAATTTAAAAAGTCAAAAAAATAACCTTGCCAAACACCCCCAAATTAGGCTCAATTATTTTGCCCAACAGGGGCCTCTCTCAAGTTTAGAGAGAATTTGAAAGGCTGTGAAATTCATTGAAAGTTTGGCTTTAATAATTTGAACCATTTATTTTTTTGTTCTTTCAATATATATGGTTTGTGAAAATAATTCGGTCGATCAAGTGATTATAATATTTTGTATTTATCTCTGAAAAAATGAATGATAAATATATTTTTAAAAATGGACTATTTATTTTTATGAAAACAAACATAATGGAGTAAAAATACTTACGATTATTAGATTAATTTAATTTTTTCTATAAATGATATACACGAAGAGCTTTACATAATAAATTGTTCAAATCATTGAAACAAGACCCATGATGGGTCTCATGGGCCCCTTAAATTCTCTCAAGTTTAATTTAAAGTTGAGAAAATTTCAACCTTTATGTGTGTGTCAATTTCCAACCACACTGCCAAATAGGTACTCAGCTGAAAAACACTGACAGAATAGATTAAGCCCAAACGACCTGTCATAGAAATACAAGATTCCGGCGGTAGTTCATCCAGCCGGGGGCACTCCGACAATCAAGTCAGTTATCTCTCAAAGATAGCAAAAGTGCTTAAATCACTATTCAGAATACAAAAAGCGTATCTTAGGCTCATGGGAGTGCCTCTCTTTTATAGCCAACACTGATCTAATCCCAATAGAAACTTAGTTTCAATGGACTCTGGTTCAATGTTAATCCTGGACTCCTAGTTAGATTGGAATAAGCTCTCTAAGAGTCTTATCTTTATCCAAATTGAAGTCATCTCTCATTCTAGGACTCTTATCCCTTATCCGCTTATCCCGGATTCCGGTATCTTTAGCCAAGATTATCTCGGCGCCATGACCAGGACACGTGGCACCTTAGTTGACACTTCGGTGTCACCTCGGCCACGTGTTGTCATTCAAAAATTATATCCCCATAACTGCCTCCTAGGTTCTATTACCTCGGCATCCTGAGGTGATGGAACCTATATCGTTTCTTCCATTTAGTACATCGACTAAGCTCGCTTTGTCCTTCATTATCGAGGTCATCATTTGTTGGCTCAATACGACCAAGACTTAGTCTATTTTCATCAATGCTTCAGAACCAATAACCAAGTTTGTTCAAGTTTCCCAGCCGAGATCGTCCCCCTAGCCGAGGTCATGCTCCATTAAATTAAGAACTCCAAAAGTTTCAACACGCGTATGAGCTATCACGCATAGTATTTCAACCGTTTTTACCACGAGTCTTTCCCCTACTGAGCCGTACCTGACACACGCCATTAAGTCGCATCGCATTTGCGTGCGCCGTCTGACAAGCACGTCATCCTAGGCACACTAATTGCCATTTTGCCACCATTCTGCGTGTTTGATCAAAATCATCGCTCTCTCTCCGTCTTTTCACTTTTTCGCCACCATTTTCGTGCAAGTTGTCTCTCTCTACTCCCAAATCCTCCATTGTTTCAAGCTCTCAAGCTCTGCAACCACTCTGTTCACCTCCTCCGGCGAAGCTTTTGCTGCTCTTCTCCGATTGCTGCCATCGTTTGACTCCGACAAACTTCACACCGGCCTCATTTTCTTCGGTGAGTTACTATTTTCCCCCTCGTTAGTTTCATACTCTGTTGCCTCTGCTTATTTGCCATGATGCATACATTCATATGCTCCTGTTTCTGTCTGTGCTTCAAGCTTTATCATTCGCATGTTTTGAGCATGTCCTATCTTGCAATTTTTTGTGCTTGTCTTGTTCTTGATTCTTGACCTTTACGTACAAATTGCACACACACTCGCTCAACTTTGCCACTGTTCTTGGCCTTGCACACCTGCACAAACTTATGCAGTGTTCCTTGATTTCTTGCTTGTCTTCTTGAGTCTGAATCATATTCTTGTCTTTGTTTTCTGTTGTGTTCTCCAGATTCTTGCCTTCAATCATTGTTTCCGTAGCCTTTGGTTTGGGACTTGTTCTAAAACTTACAAACTTTAGGAAAAATTGAAACAAATTCCCTTTAGATCCTCAAAAACCCTTGTCCCAACATTCGTTTAGGTTTTGCCGAGGTCCTTAAAACCCTATCAAACCACTTCCTTTGGAATCCAACACTTTTCCCTTAAGCCAACATCATGGATATGTGGAGATGGAAGGTAGACACCCCAATTAAGCTAGAATATTTCAGGCAAGAGTTCGTCATCCCTGCCACTGTTCACCTCAGGTTAGCTGGGGAGGAGGACTCCATCATGCCCAAGGACGACTCTATGCCTTTTCCAGTCGTAGCCTTCGTAGAGTGTGGACTTTGGCTCCCTTTCAATATTCTCTTCCGAGAAGTCCTTCACTATTATAAACTCAACCCAATGCAATTAGCCATTAACTCTTATAGAGTCATCAACGGTATTATTGCCTTAGCTAGCCGAGAAAATGCTAGGGTAACTCTAGCTGACATCCAGTACTGCTACACCATGTGTGGCCTTAAGTCAGAAAAATGCTACATTTACTACCTTAAGCCGAGGTCGACGGAATACAAACTCATCGCCGACCTCCCTGATTCCAACAAGGGCGCTGGGGACGATTACTTTATCGTCTCGGGAAACTGGGAGTTCCTTCCAGATGACGACCTTCACCTATACCCTCAAAGCCGTACATTGTTCAGAGAGGGAGATGGTAAGATCTAAGTGTTTACTTTTACTTGCTTCTCAAGTCTTTTTTACTTTGATATTTTTATATGTTCTAACGTCTGTATGTTTTATTTTGCAGTTCTTCTTCAACCTCCAAAGGACTTCCACAAAAACTTCTATCCCAGCAAGGATTTTAAGAAGCTGTTAAGTCTGCCAGTTGAGCAGCGGAAAGCTCCTTTGCTGCTCAACTACATCCCAACTTACAAGTCGATACTACCCGACGTCCCGAGAAAAAGCAAGTCTCCTCCTTCAACAACAACTCCTGTTACAACTTCATCACATCAGCCAGATCAGGGATCAACCTCTGATCCAACAAAACAACCATCAACCTCGGCTCCTCAACTAATCCCACATTCTCAGTGCAAACGCCAACGTCGAACTGTAGCCGTCATCGAAATGGGTTGTAAGAAGGCTGTAGCAGACGACCTTCTAGGCGAAATCCCAAACACTGTCACCGTACAACCTTCACCATCCCAGTCTCAGCCAAAGCCAAAAAGACTAAAGAAAGTCCAACCTAAGGCAACGGTAACTCAGATCGACTCTGAGAACACTTTGCCAATCTCCAAAATAGCTGAGGTGGAAAAAAGTGCCTCCACCGTTGAAAAGAGGCCTGCCGAGGCTGCTCCCTTTGAATCAACCCGGTCAAAGAAGCTGAGGTCAGAGTCTATGACAACCTCGAGGTCTATGAAATCTAATGCCCCCTAGGTCCCTCTAATCACTATTGAGGACAAGCCAGTCAGAGTCGGCGACAGCGTGACTGACCTTGAAGTTGGCGTTGCCCTCTCTACTGCCTTGCTCCTTCCAAAAGACGTCGAAGTAACGCCGAGGTCAACGAATATGAAAACTTCGCTCTAATGTTGCAGCACTCCGTACAAGTAAGCCCCTAACACTTGGTACTTTTCATTCTTTATTTTTCCATACTTCGAAAGTTTTACTAACTTTTGCATTGTCCATTTCTTCTAGGCGATCTAGCACGTCCACTCCTTCGCGATGCAGGCTTTTGACATCAAGAAGGAGTTGGTCAACAAGACCAAGGAGGCTGCTAGTTTGCTGAAGACCGTCAATAAGGCCGAGGCCAAAATGAAGACTTTGATGGATCAGGCCAAGACAGCAAAACAAGCCCAAGACGAGGCCGAGGAGAAGGCAGGCGCTGCTGAGGCCATTGCTAAGGTCCTTGAAGCCGAGAAAAAAAAGGCCGAAGCAAAGATCGCCGAGGCCCAAGCCGAGCTCATTGCTGCCTTGGCCACAAAGGACACCGAGATCAAGGCGACGGATAAGAAAGCATATGTCGCGGGGGCAGCCGACGTTCGCGATAACTACAAGAAACAAATGAAGCAGGCATGCAACAAAGGTTTCACCCTTGGTTGGATGGCTGCTCTAAAGGAGTTGGCTATCCCCGAGGACTCTCCTCTCAAAAATGCTAGCAACCTCGTCCTGCCATTTCCTCCCTCTCTAAGCCAGTCCGAGGACGAAGCTGAGTCCGAAGACAAAGTTGAGACTGAAAAGTTCGAGAAAGCTGTGGATGCTGGGGCCAAGTCCCCAACTCTGAATGAGCAAGTCTTGGACTTGACTTAGGATGAGGGGGACGAGGTCTCAAAAGATACCACCCCTGAGAAGACAACATCTGACATGCCTATTGTCGAGAAGAGCATCGACCAGACTCTCCAAGAAATCGATGCCGAGCTCGCGGCTAAGAAGGCTGTCAAGAAGAGTTCTTACATGTCTTTCGAGCCCCAAACCGATCCAGCGGATGATGCCAAATAGTCTAATCTTAAAGCTTTTCCTCTGCACTTAGTACTTTTTTC